CACAACCAGCTGTGAAAAAGAGAAAGGAAGAGACCAGTGCCCTATTCTCCTTTCAGGGCATGTTGTCATTGACCTAAAAAAAACTCTCCACTGTGCCCCACCTCTTAACTACTCTCAATAGTGCCAAGCTGAAGACCAAGATTTTATCATATAGTCTTTTAGGAGACATTCTAGAGGACTTGGTATCAGCCAGCATTTCACAAAGGGTAGCATTCCTGAGCTCCAAAAACCAAATATCTGCCATTCAGTGGCAAAAGAAACTTCCTGTAGGTCTTTTTGACTCTCAGCCTCTGTCTTTAACTTACTTAGTGATCTGAATCAAACCAGGGGACTTCATCTCTAGAAAATAATGACCTGAGTAGGTGACTGCTCATTTCCCCTCAAATTATAAAAGTGTTAGGGACATGGGTGTATCCCAAGAAGACAGAAAGTTAGACCTTTGCTGGCAGGAAAACAGATCATGGTAAGATAGAGAGGGAATCGGGGAGACAGGTGACCATGAGACAGGAAGAAGAGCAAAACATCCCAGCAGAAAGAAGTCAGACCCTGTGTCCCTTGCCCTGCTGAAAGTCAGAATTCCTGACAAGGACTCAGAGAGTCAATGCCAGCAAGTTTTCAATGGCCTGCTGAGAGTGTGCTGAGCTAGAGCTTGCTGCCTTGACCTGCAACTCCCTGGGCCTGGAGCAGCTCCAGATAGAACTGTGATTTGTAGCATAAGACACAACTGGTCTGAATACCAACTGGGATAAGACATGAAATATTCAAATGTCTTAGAAGCCCCAAGGGTACCCCTCTCTCTTCTTAGAAATAATAACCTTTCCTGATTTCTAAGAGCCAATTCTAGAATAACCCTAAACTCTGAGGAGCTTTGAGCACATCCTAGTTAGACCACATGCATTACCGATATCTGTGGCTAGTTATCTTCTACACAGACTCCACAGATGGTTTGCTTCATTTTGTGTTGGCCTTTATTAGTTTCAATGTACAGAGTGCCTTTGTCTTTTTTAAAAAATATATTGTATCATGTTTCATAGTAGACTTGGAACATGCTGACAACATAACTCTCAAGGGAGAATAAAATATATACATACAACTGTATGAAGTAGGACAAGTCTTGTTAGCATGTTGGAATAAAGAATTTCCTTTTTCTACATACAAGTATATATTCCACATTATATACACTCCTTTACTGTGAAATATAATACTGATATAGAAAAGTGTAGAAGATCTATATGTGCAGCGTAACCAAAAGCACAGAGTGAGAATCTATACAATCCCACCCACAGGGAGAAATAGAATGTTGATGAGCACCAAGAAGATCCTTGTGTGTCCCTCTTAATTACAGACCCCTGTCCTCATGAAGCTACCCATGACCTGGATTCTAAAACAGTTACTCTATTTCTTTGCTAGATAGCTTCACCACTTATTAATGAACTCTTAAACATATGCTAAGTTTGTTTTGAAAAATGGAGTGGCAAATAACACTCAGATACATAAAGGAAGTCATAGGCCACTACTAGCTGAACATTTCCAGAAGAAAGCAAATCCAGCTGCCACAGTCATCTTCAACTCCCAGCTTTCCGCTAAGGAAAAGCAGTGGCTAAAGTCTCAAGAATCTGGAAACAGATAGAACTTGCTATTGGGATACTGGGCAGACCTGGTTCTAGACCTGCCGAAGGTAGGAGGGCGATGCACTGAGGGAATGCACTATACTCTGGGTTTTGCATTTGCACTTGCCACCGCCTGTGCCCAAGCCCTTGAGCTTTCAGATGTAGGTCACTGTGGACATCTCCATGGGCGATATCTGGCCAGCTGATCCAGGCAACAGGATCTATTGAAGGCAGAGTGGAAGTTGGTCAGCTATGATCAAGCCAAGTCACTGACAGAGTGAAGCGAAGGCAGGATCCTAAGGATGCAGCAGTGTCAGGGAAGGAATGCACCCATCTGCTTCTTCAACAGCTTCCAACCCTCCCCATATTGGCCAACCCATTCTATTTCACAGTCAGTCCAGGTTCAGAGAAAATATGAGGCTCTTGTTGCTGAACCTGAGAGAGATTCTACCCTATAAACCAAGTGGCTTGTCAGCTTTCTCCTTTGCTGCCTTGTGTTTCACCTTCCTTGGGGCTGGGTAGTCAGTTGGATTTATGTGTCTACTTTTGTTGAGCTGAATTCTAACTAGGTTCTCCAGCTTAGCTTCAAACTCCTGGGCTGCCTTGAGCCTCAGTCTCTCAGTTAGCTGGGACTGACTATAGAAGCATACCACTATCTAAATTTTAGCTTCATGAACTAGGGTGCTGTTGTGTCCTTTTCTGGTCTTACTTTCCTAGTAGGATTTGGTCATAAAAACAAAATTGGAACCCTTACTGTCGTTTTAATGGGCTTTGGGATAAATGAAGTAAATAGAGGCATTAAATTTGTCCTGTCTCCTCTGTCATTTGGATGGCTTTTTGGGAGATATTGAGGGAACTTGGATGACAGAGGAGACTGGGTGCATAAGTATAAGGGTTATGCTGTGGACATTGCTTCATAGAGTATTGCTTTAGTTTTGGCAATTAAAAACCTGGACTTCTTTTTTTTTTTTTAAGTCAGACCCAGGTTTAGCTTCCATCACTGCCATTTTCTTACTAAGCGCACAGGAAAGAGATGACATTTGATTGTTACCCTGACTGGGAACTTTATCACCAGTTAGCATGTGTTTCTGCCTTTCATTTAATTAGGAACAGAAATTTTGCTTATCACATACCCTATACATGTGTAGCCCAAAGAAAAAGTCACTAGGAATGTTAACTTGGAATCCTAGCATAAGGTAAATCACTATCTGTGGAAAGGATACTTATAGGATGGCATCCCCTCCTTTTCTGGGCCTCGGATAGCATGTGTCTGCAAACTGTGTGTTTACACACTTCTCCACTTCACTAAGTGACTCCAGGTCCATGCTTGATTGTGATACTAAGCTAGGGTTGCCCACACTGTGGAGACATCTTCTACGGCTGGTCATTTTCATGGACTCTCTTCAGTTCTGTGGGTATTCATACTGACCTCTCACTAACATCTAACAAGTCATATGACGCTATGAGGGATTGCTGGGGAGAAGCTTTGAACTGCTTTCATTCTCTACAAATAAGACACATTGATTCATTGCTTTTAGAATGAGTCAGCACAGAGCAAGAAAGTCATCAGAACCCCAGTAATATTTGCATATTGGGATTTTTAATGCCAGTGTGGTTGTAAGTTATTGTGTTTAGAGTTATCCAGCATCTAAGGGTATAGGTATAAAGAATTTCTACTGTCTCAGAAGACAACTTTGCTTCAAGGACAAATGGGAACCTGATGAAAGGAAACTATAGGTGCCAGTGAGTGAGCCTCTGTACTAAGGAGCCTCCCTAGGGGCCTCTACACCCTGTAGAGTTACTCCCCAAACCATCAAAATAGCAAAGAATCATTTGGGTTTGGAGGGAGTTACCTATTTTTGCTTTGGCTGGGCTAGTGTTATCTCTAAAATTTGCACATAGTTGGATCGTCTTCTTATTCCCATTTTTAAAGATTTATCCTTTTAAATATTTATAATTTGTTCCTTATAGTTTGTCTTGAGCCTCCCTTGTAATAGCTCGCTGGTATATTTCTTGTGCCACATTATAACAGGTTTTTTTTCCATTTGAAAGCTTGATTTCTGTATGGCAAGTTAGTAATCATGCATGCATATACGCACTGTGACAATGCCACGAAGCCAGGGTGTGCATCTTGCTCTGCTACAAACTAGCTGTGTGACTTTGGGCAACTTAGTTAATCTCTCTGGGCCTAAATACCCTCTTCTGTAAAGTAAGGACTTATAATAGCTTCACAGACAGCTGTTTATAAGCATTGATGGAGACCAAATAGTTAAAGCCCTTAGAATAGTGCCTGGAGCATTACAAGTGTTCAATGAATTCAAAGGTGGCAGCTCTTACTGTTATTTCAAATAATGTATCTATGTAATAGGTATTTAGTGTTGATTGGAGGCAGTGAATCCAATGGAATCCAAGTGTTTAACTTAGATTGGGGGAAGGATTATATCCCTGTGTATTGGGATGTTGGGGTGACAGAGTGCATCAGTCACAATTCAGGTATTAAGAGCAAGAGGCATAATTATCCTGTAGAAAGAATAATGCCTTATTACAGGGCATCCCTCAGCCCTTTGGACACCATGGCTGCATATCGACAGCACATTTGAGTTTCCCAGCTCTTACTGACATGGATATCAAGTACAGGTTATTTTAATTGCTTTGGCTGAAAGAATTGGGTTACATCTTCAATATGCTCAATACTGGTAAAATTCTTGTCCTATAAAACACAGTGGCAAGGGAACTCCTACCCACACAAGCCCTGAAACCTTAAGACCTGGTAGGGTCAACTGCTTCGTTTTGTGCTCACCATTTGGTTTTGCAGGTCCTTCAGCATGTTGGCAAACTCATGCCTACAAACCAAGTTGGAGTCGTGTACTCTGATGCTGGGGGTGAGGGAATAGGAACAGGGCGGGGGAGGGGGAGAGTGGGGAGGGATCAAAATTAGTCAAAGTCATTGCTGATGAACTAGCCATCTGATTTAGCTTTATGTCCCATTGTCATCAAGACTGATTGCTTAAGGCAGGAGATTCATCACATGAAACCCACTCGTGGGCATGAAGTGCTCTCCAAACCCCCTCATCTTATAGATAAATTGTTGGGGCATTGGGAAGGGGGAGATGCCATGGGCATTTTCAAAGGAGAGAGGAAATACCTTTGAACTGCTTCTTGAAGGTGTCCATGAGCTAAGGCAAGCTAAGACCACCAAGCTATTTGGGTTTGTGCCCCTAAACCAGTCAGGATGCATAACCACAGCACATAGACAACCCAACTAGGTGATCAGAGCAGTGACGAAATCAGTCCAAACCATTTCATGGCCAAGCAGCTGATGGATTGTTCAATCGGTTGTTGTAGACTCATGTAGACAAATCCTGCAAGCTTGGGGAAGCCAGGCCCCCCCAGGTCAGCCTCGGGCGACAGCCCCCATCCCGCCAGGCTCTGGGGAGTGAGTCCTTCCTGCCCGGCAGCTCCTTTGCTCATGAGCTGGCCCGAGTCACCTCCTCGTACAGCACCTCAGAGGCAGCGCCCTGGGGCGGCTGGGATCCGAAGGCCTGGAGGCAGGTGCCTGCTCCTCTACTGCCTAGCTGCGACGCTGCAGGTAAGTCATTTCTCCCTGAGCCTCGCTTTTCCTCATCTGTCAACTGGGGCATGGTCCCCTGCTCAGCCTGCCCGCCCGCCTGCCTCACAGAGTTGTTGGGAGGAGCTCAGGAGGTGACAGCTCTAAAGGCAAGCTCTTTGCAAGCCATACAAGTTCTATACACCTGCTAGGGGTCCCTAACTGTTTCCTGGCTCTGCTATACACTAGTTTCTTCTTAGCATTGTCTGGCAAGTGAACAACCAAAGCAAGAAGAGTGCTCCAGGCACTTTGGCCTCATCTCCAGGGAAATGAACAACGGATTGCACAGGGCACTGTTATTCTCTCTCCTTCTACCATACACCTTCTGACACTGCACTTCCCTACTTGCCTGTCTAGCCCAGCTGCTACACTGGGAGCCTAGCTCTGCATGCCCTCACCCAAGGCCCACCTGGTTGATACCTAGTACATGTTCTGGAACAGCCTCCCCAACCAATAATTGGCCATGACTTTCACACCCTGCAGTGTTCTTTGACCCCCTACACCCTCCAAGTGGGAAGCTGGATTCCCCCACTACAGGATTGGCAGACTAGAATGGCAATGCAAAAGGCAACTGAGTCTGTGCAAGGTGGCTGTGGGTTCGGAGCAGCCTCTGGATCCTACAGTGTAGCAGGCATGGTGTGGCATGCCCCCATAGAGTCACATTAGCAGCCATGAGAACAAGATGATGGATACCAGCCTTGGCAGAGAATTTCATTTGGATCACAAAGTTGTTGTTCTAGTGCATGAAATATCAATGTGCACAGGATGTCTGCCCTATCTGTAAAGAAAACTGGAGAAATGAGCATTTGCTAAGTGATAGTGATCAGAAGATGGTCATCAAACTGAAAGGGCCTCCTGGGATTCTGGCCTTTAATGGAAATTCTGCTTTAGTACATACAGCCTTGTTCTTTTTATCCAGTCTCTGCCCTGGCTTGGAAGAACAAGCAGTGCTTTCCATTCAAGGGCTATTGATTTCTCTCTCCCTCCGAGTCACACCACTCCTCAGCTGTTCGTTGTTCAGCTGAAACCAGAAGAATCTTGTCCAGCCCAAAGCTGCCAGGGAAACAGAATTAGCAAAACGGATGGAGACATCCACTCAGGATGTCGCGGCTTCCATCCTGCTCTGCCCTGCCCTTCCCAAGCCTTGGAAGACACAATGGCAAAGCTCCCAGCTAGTGGGCCTGCAGAGTTCCTATCCTCCACCTCACGGTCTTTCTGCCCTGCCTGAGCCAGTGCCAGGGACAGGGGCAGTGGGTGGGGGTTGCTAGGAACTTGGGAAGCTGATCCCACCTAGAAGGCGTGAGCCTTTCCCTTGTCCCTGCAGCCTGTGAGTCATAGTGAGATGGAAGATGGAAGCACTTTGAGGATGAAGACAGACTCTGGTTTCCTCTGGCACAGGATTATTCCCAGCATTTAAAGCAAGCCATGCTGAGACCAGCCAGCCTGGAGGCAGCAAGAGTGAGGAGAAGGCAGAAAAGCTTACACACTCATAGGCCCAGAGGAAAACAGCCAAGGGAGGAGAAAAAAGGGACAGATTGCTGGAAGCTCAGTCACTTGGTTTTGATGACACTTATTTTCCGAGGCCCTCAAGTAGCAGCTTCAGACTGCATCGAATGCGGGATAGCACTGTGGGTGGGCAACTCCTGCCCCATTTGTCCAGAAGAGCAAGGAAAGGCTTCAGCAAGGCCAACACTGCCCCATGTTTTGCCTAACATGGAGGAGGCAGGCACATTCCACATTCCCCCCTCTAGGACCCCACCTGACTGAGGGTTCTGGCAATGGCTGTCAATTTATCAACCATGAACCATCACATATTGTCTTTAGAACATGGTCTTCCTTGACTGATTCACTTGTGGCTTGCCACTCTCCCTGTCTAGTCTAGGCTCCATAAGTATAGAAACACACCATGACAACATGGCTCGAGCCTGGACCATAGTAGACCAATACTGTTTGTCAGTTGGCTGATACTAAGATGGGCTGGGCCGCTCCATCAGGTCCAATTGGCCATTGAGTCCTTGGGCACATAAGGTAGGGTTAGGTGCTTTATAGTCACAGGGTGAGTAAGTTACTTCCAATGTGGCTTACAAAATCTACAAAAGAAAGTGTTTTTCTACATGGAGTAATAAACAAGCCCACGCTATAGTTGATTAATCTTTAAGGCAGATAACTGAGTACATTCTGCCACATGGCAGGCTGGCTCTGTGTGGGACGCTCATAGGGCAATGTCTGCTGCTCTGGGAGATGAGGCAGGGTCACCTCCTAGAGGAAAAGAAATCTTCTTCCCTCTCCCTTTCTTCTCTGCTGTCCTCCTCTCCTCTTTCTTCTGTCTTTTCCTCCTCCCCTTCTCCCTCTGCCTCCCTTTCTTCCTATCTCCCCGCCCTCCTCTAGAGGATTATGGGGTGAGTGTTATCTGAATCTGGCTGAATCTCAGGAATTTTTTTTTGTGGCTCACCTGTCCAATTCCTGCTGGTTGCCAGTCCTCTCACCTTCACCCAACTGGAGAGTACTTTAAGTGCTGGCATTGGTAATGAAATAGGCTTCCCAATACAGAAGTGGAGGGTATGACCTCAGATGATTGCACTGAGGGGCTTGGAAGAAATTAGCATGTGGTACATGCTGGGTAGAGCAGATGCAGCTCCTGTCCCAATTCCTTGGCAAACCCCATGCCAGGCTCCATGGTACCAGTTGACAGTGATCGAGTGTGCAGTTTGCGATCACACAAGTTGAGGCCCTAGCATTTCCATCAGCCTCCAGAGACCAATAGGTCTTTCTATCTTCTGAGCACCAGCAGGAAGCTTCTAAAAGGCAGCCCAGGACCATTCTGTGAATGTGGCATGCTGGGTCTGGAAGAGGGTGTGGCAAAGGAAGAGCAGGGCTGTAGTTCCCTGATACTTCCGGCTGGCCTCAGCCCTAGACTCACCATGGTGGTCACGTGGGAAACACTCTGTGACTCACACAGGGCCTGCCTGTCACTGTCACTGGCTCGATGGGATTGAGTGACCTTGGCATTTGCAGCCTTCGAAAAATTGAGGTTTTTGATGGCCCCTGTGTAACTTTACTTTTAAAAATCCACATGACCTGAGCTATTTTTCACCAGAGGACAGAAATCGAATGTACCGTCACTAAACAGCAATTTCAGCCACTGTTTCCTCCTGGTCACTGAAACCATTTGTCATTTCCTGTTTTCTCCATTTTCCAACGATTCTAATTGTCAGTGTCAAAAGGCAACAACTGTTTTCTTGGGGCTTATCTTTGGAGCACATTGATTTAGAACAAAGGATGGGAGCCTCCGTCTGCAAAACACTGCAAAACAAAGGAAGCGGCCCCCTCTGTAGGCCTGCAGACAATGCCCTGCTTCCCTCTGCCAGGGACAACAGGATTGACCAGGGCGGGAGCAGAGACAGGACTGGCCCTGCTCTTAGACACCTTGGTGAGGTGACCAGCCCACAAGAGACACCTGTGTGCAAAGATCCTCCAGAGTTGATTACCAGCACTACAGGCTGAGCAAGGATACAATTTGGCTTTTTCCTTTAAGTTTTGGATGTGCTGGAACTTGTGCTTCTGAGAATGAAGATTCACCATCATGCCATTTGTCCCTATATGGGTAGTCTGGGTAGGAAATGCCCCTTTTCATCTAGCAAATGGTATCCAGCACCTACATCCTCTGATTTCAGCTCCAAGCTAGCCTTTCCTTTTGTTTTCCATGCCCATGGGCAGACTTTCTCTGTAATAGGTCCTTTCGCAGATTCCTGTCCTCCCTTCCTATTTCTTTGGCTAACCTCCATCTGTCCCATATAAGTGGAATTTTTGAATCTAATGAGGTTGTAAGAGGGGTTGGAGGTGGACTAGGGGCAGACCTAGGTAGAAAGATAGGAGTTTATTTCCAGATGTATGAGGATGAAGGACTTGAAGCCCTGGGTCTGTAGTTAGGAGGCTTTACACTCCCTAGCCATGTTGATTTGAACAAGTCATTTAAGCTCTGGATCCTGAGGTTTCACATTAGGAAACAGTAGACTGTAGATCTGTCCTGATGTCCCCAAGCTGTTATAAGGGTCATGGCCGGGTGGGGCGGGGGGGGAGGGAGGGAGGGAGATAGAAAGAAAAGGGCTGCTTTCAGAAATGGCTCACCCTGCTGGGCACTGCCAGTGACTCACACCTGTAATCTTAGCTACTCAGGAGGCTGAGATCTGAGGTTGCTGATTCATAGCCAGCTAAGGCAGACAAAAATCAAGAGCTTATTATATCCAACTGACCAGCAAAAAGACCAGAGTATCCATATGGCTCAAATGGTAAAGCACCAACCTTGAGCAAAAAAGACAAGCGAGAATGTGAGGTACTGAGTTCAAGCCCCAGTGTACATACACACACACACACACACACACACACACACACACTCTCCACACAAGAAAGTCTCACCTACTCAGAGCATCTCAGGCAGATGCTGTGGCCTGTGATAGTCATGTGACCTCCACAAGAAATCAGAGGAAATAATGGGTGGGACATGCACGAGACATTAAGCATGCCCACCCCATCAGTGCTTCCACAGGAAGAGGACCACTCGAATGATCAGATGATCAGCTGAGAAGCAGCATCCTCCCTCTACCCATAAGCAGCCACCCTGAGCAGGAGGAGGTACAAGTTAGGACAAGAAGCAGGCCAAGGGCAAGATGGAAAAGCAAAGCCCAGTCTGGGGAAATGGCTTCTAGTGTAGTCTTCCCAGTGCCATGTGTTTGTCCTCTCTGCCTTGGCAGGAATTGAAGCCAGGAGCTACTGCCAGGCCTGCAAGCCGGGCACACTCCCAAGCACTGGCCTTCCGCCCCACCCTCTCCCACTCCAGCCACCAATGCAGAGGACGTCTGGGGCCTTTTCTGTCAGAGCAGGCACTTCGTAGGCAGCCCCAGTTAAAGCATGAAGTCTTCTGGCATCTGGAGACACAAGCCAGAAAGTGGTCTGTGGGCTCATGCTCCTTGACACAGCAGCCTTGATGGTTGGATGCTGCCAGGCAGGCTGCTTGAGAAAGGGAGAGCTGGCAGCATGTGAGCAGAGACGTGTGAGCATTAGATTAGGAGTCAAGACCTACAATCACTGGGCTCTGACTTGCTGAGGATCTTACAGTGAGTTGTGCCTTCTCTGGCCTTGGGCCTTTCTTATTCTTACCTGACTGTGTTCCTCCCTTGGCTTCATGAGTGAATCCCAGACTCTGCCAGCCTGAGCCCCTGAGCATAGGTCCTCCCCTTGCTCACATCACAGGCTCTGAGATGAAAACAGGAAGCTCCTCCCTATTCAGAAGGAAAAGAAATTGGTAGTGTCTGGCTACTCTTGGTGTCAGACAGTGTGTCCATCTGTTCGCGTCACTCTCCAGCTGTTCATAGCAGGACTGCCCAAGCCTCAGCAGTACTACCCACCACCAAAGAGCCCAGTGTCTGTTCTGCTCCAGCCACAACATTGGATTGTCCAGTCTTGACTTGTCTGGGAAATTTGAAATCCAGTCCCTACTCCTATTGTTTATCATCCTCTGAATGTAGCTCATATGCCTGGATCTCCCTGAGACGGGCATACCCAGATACCTATTGGTACTGGGGGCATGGTTCTGGCCAAGGCAGAGTAGTATAGGACTGTCACCTCCCTCCCTCTACATATTCTGCTTCTAATAATGCAGCCTAATATTACATTTTATTTTTGATGATCACGTCTCACTGCTGAGCCATCCTGAGTAGATGGATATCCGAAATGCTTCACTGTTTCTCTATGTGCTCTTGCTATTAAGCTCTGGCCCTCCTGCTCATCCTATGCTGTTGCAGTTGTTTCTCTTAACCCAGGCACAGAATCTACTTGTATTTATAGCTGTGGATCTTGCTCGGGAGGGTGGGGCATGCATGCAAGTGTGTGTTGATGTGTTCACTCATGCTTTTGCTGCACCAAAGCCAAGTCCTAGGTCCCCATACAGAAATCCAAGGCTAATAGTTCTGGGTGGCTGTAACCTAACATATCTTTTCAATCTTCCATTTAGCAAGAGAAGCAGAGATCAGGTCTTACGGCAATGACCCCTAAACAGTGGAGTGAGCATATCGCCCAGCAAATGAGTCCATTGCAAGGTAAGTAGTTAAGATCAATGTATCCAAAGTAGCCAGTGTGAGGAAGGTGCGTATGTGCAAGTGTGTGAGAATTCATTTCCCAGTAGGCAATTGCTATGTGTGATGTGAAAGTACTGAGAGACAGAGAGAGAAGAGGTACGAAAGCCAGTTAAATGGTGTCCAGATAGTTCATTCATATTGGCAGCCACCTTTAAGAAGGCTTGGTTCTTTTTGTTGTTGTTGGTTGTGGGGCATGAACTCAGGGCCTGGGCACTGTCCTTGCTCTTTTTGCTCCAGGCTAGCACTCTAGCACTTTGAGCCACAGCTCCACTTCTGCTTTTTGAGGGGTTAATTGGAAATTTCACAGACTTTCCTGCCTGGGATGGTTCTGAGCCACGATCCTCTGATCTCAGCTTCCTGAGTAGCTAGGATGACAGGCATGAGCCACCAGTGCCTGGCTGGAGGCCTGATCTTAATAGTTCCAAAAATCGGGCTGGGAAGGTGGCTCAGTGGCAGAGCACTTGCCTTGCATGCATGAGGCCCTGAGTTCGATTCCTCAGCACCACATAAGCAAAAAGAAAAAAGCTGGAAGTGGCGCTGTGGCTGAAGTGGTAGAGCACTAGTCTTGAGCTGAAGAGCTGAGGGACAGCGCCCAGGCCCAGAGTACAGGCCCCACCCCAGGATCCCTCCCCCCCAAAACAATAGTACCAAAAATCACTTTAATTCAAGAGATTGACTGGGCTTAGTTGGGCCTTTTAAAAGCCACTCTTGCCCATGGAAGAGGACCAGAGTTCTTAGCCTAACCTTTCCGCACACATGCTCTCTTATTGCTAATGGGTTTCAGGGCATTCTGGCAGGTATGAAGAATATAAAAGGGGGTTCAAGATGCTCCCCTTACACAGTCTATGCTGAGGCCTCCCAGTGCCTCTACAGATAACAGGAATCCATGTCCTGCCACATTTACTGGCTGAGGACAAAGCAGTTACCAATGGTTAAGCATGGCACCTACTTCATGGAGCTTGCAGACTGGGCAGGGAAGCTTTAAGTGAAGCAGTCATTAGAAGCCATGGCATGATCTTGGAACAAACCAAAGGGACAATCTGAAGCTCTTGACACTTGTCCTCTGTCCCTCAGACAAGTGGTCAGCATCTTTGTTGCAGCCCAATGTCACCTGCCACATGATTGTCCCTGCATTCTCTTCCAAAAACCCCTGTCCCTTTGGACCTTATACCCACCACACATCTCTGTCCTCTATCCAGGGTAGACTTAACAGTCAGGCTTCATCTCTAAAAGTGACAGACATGTTCCACAAAGGCTGATCTTGGTAGAGGGTTAGTCTTAGGAGACCAATTAAACCTAACCAAAAGCCTTCAAACTTTCATGCTAAGGAAAAATCCTACGCATACTTACAAGAAAAATAACGCCACTCATCACCATAAGTAGACTGTGGTGGCGGGGGGGGGGGGGGGGGGAGTCATAACAGGCTGGGACTAACAGCTCACACTTCCTGTTCCTGCTTGACCTTGGGCAAACTTCATGATAGACAGATATTTCAGGGTTCATACCACAAAAACACCAGCAGCTACCAGCCACAGCTGAGAGAAAACATTGTCAGAATTAGCACCTAGGTCCCTTTCTATCTACCACTCTTGTCTCTGCAGTACAGTTACTCCCAAGCAATCCTAGATTTCAGCCTTTAGAAAGAAACCCAAACTGGCGCCAGTGGCTCACACCTGTAATCCTAGCTACTCAGGAGGCTGAGATCTGAGAGTAGTAGTTCAAAGCCAGTCCCAAAAACCGGAAGTGGCTCTGTGGCTCAATTGGTAGAGTACTCACCTTGAGCTGAAGAGCTCAGGGACAGCTCCCAGGCCCAGAGTTCAAGCCCCATGACCGACTGACTCCCCCCCCCCAAAAAAAAGAAAGAAGGAAAGAAAAAAAGAGAAAGAAACCCGACTCTAGTTCAAATTTCCACATGTGGGAACACAGAGGCGGCCACACCACTGTCCCCACCTCTTACCCCACTCATCAGATAGAGAAGCTGAAGCAAGCCCAGGCCCTCTGCAATCGGACAGACTGAACCTTCTTCTTCAGCCCTTTCCTTGGGTACCCTCCTCCTTGCCCTCCCTCCCTTTCTCCTAGTCATCCTTCGTTTCCTTCCTTCCTTCCCTTCTCTCTCTCTTTACTTTTCCATCCTTCCCTCTCTCTTCTTCCCCTCCCTCCTTCCCTAATTTCTTTCTCCCCCTCTATAAAATCTGCACCATGTATTAGAGCGGGCAGAGGCAGTTGCCAAACCCTTGATACACAGCACTGAAGGTCAAAGCAGATGTCTTCTGGCCTCCTGGAGCTTCTAGTATGCTTGGGAAGCTTGCTAGGTCAGGTGGCATTTCAAGCCCAGCAGAGTAGGGGTGCTGTGAATATAGACCAGGGAGGTGTGGGACAGTGTCCTCCAAGTCCTGTGTTCCAGGCTGAGGACAGTTGAGTGGAAGGAAGGTACAGGGGAGGCCTAGTAGGGAAGTACACAGTGGGAGGTATGGTCAATGCTGGGCATGCAGTGTCTGTGCTAAGCTGAGCATGCTTTTGAAAATCACCCTCCTGTCTCTCTCCCTGTAGCCGTCCAAGAACAAGTCACCTCCAAGTGTAGCCAGACCAAGGCAACCTCCCCAGCCAGCCAGAATCTGATGCCACCCAAAACTGGGGTCCTTCTGAACAATCTGAGTCCAGGAATAATGCCATTCACCAGGCACCAGAGTCCAAATGGCATGGGTATGATCTCATCAACTCTGAAGAAGCAGCAAGGAATATTCAACTGCAGTCATCAATATCATATAATGTCCAGCTCAGGCCACTCCCCCTTAGACAGTCTTGGCTCTGTCTGCCAGCATCTACAGAGTCCCAAGGCCAATTCCCCAGGAGTGCCCCTGAGCAAGTTCCATCCCAGGCCTCCCACCAGCCAAGCTCTAAGTCTCCACCAGCGCAGACTACCCAATGTGGCAAGAACACCCACTGTGTTCAACAGTGCTACATGGGTGGTGGCAGCGGTATCTGAGACCACAGTGGTTTCAAATGTAGATAACAGCACTCACCAACCTGTGGGTAGCAATTCCATTTTTGCCAAGGCACCCGTGAGCGTGCCCCCACATGCGCCGACATTTCCACTGCAGCAAACGGTGATACAGCCCAATCAGGTGGCCCCAAGTGGCAGGCCTGGCCAGAAGGTGAGTAGTGCCCTGGCCAATGCCAGTTTCGGCCTATTGGGCAACCACAATCTCCAACAGAGTCCAGTGCAGGGCCCTGTGCCTGTGCTGAGCACCCCCACGGCCCCCCAGCCAGGCACAGCCCACTCTGCTCCCATGAGTCCAATTCAGGCCATTGAGCCACCAAGCTATATGGCCACTATCATGGCCACCACTGCTGCTGCTTCTGCCATTGCCGCTAGCCACTCCTTGGGTCCATACAATAGAATGGATCCAGCCCCTGAGCTGCTACCTGATAACTTCCCGCTCCAGGACCAGCCCCCAGTGAATGGTTCGACTTTGCCCCCTGACTGCAATGAGGTAGATCTCATGGAAACTCTCATGAAAGACCCCAGTGTGGGTACAAATGAAGATTGGATGTGTGACTTAAAGCTTATTGATGATATTTTGGAACAGCATTATGCTGCCCAGAATGCCAGAGGCCAGAATGCTGGCCAACTCACCCAGGGTTCTGGGGAGCCTTAAATCAGAGTAGGATACTCCCAGAACCCCCGCCCCCCTACCCCACGCTGCTATGGTCTGAACCCACAGCAAATTCATAACTGGTTCCAGGCAGTCACACTTCACCCCTCCGCACAATTTGAGTAGTGTTGGCCTTGCCCATCCATCTCTCCTCTCTCTACGAAATAGCAAGCTGGTGATTTTTCAAGCTACTTGTACATATTTGAAAATTTTGTAAATGGTTTTCCTAAACATTAATGACAGAAGTATTTATACTTGGTTTTGTGACTTTGTAAATAAAGTGACGGCTTTGGTTTCAATTGGGTTGTGTTCATTCTGCATTGTTTTGTGTTTATTACGCATTGTTACAAATACGCAGACTGTGTTGTTGGCTCTAGTGATGCTTTGTTAAGCCAGGTGGATGAGTCACTATGGTTATGATGTGATGAGTGACGTATGTTTGTGTGTATGTGCGCACGCGCGCGTGACCAAGGGGTATTTGCAAACTGACAAATGCCAAATAGAAAACCACTTGGTCATTCATTTCCATTTTCCTTAAAAATTCAATCACCGCGTGTGACTCTTAATCTCTTTTGCAAACCTTTCGATCTCTGCTAGCTCTTTCCTGATGAGCATTTTATAGCATTACAGCTTTGCATTGTTAAGTGTCCCAGAGACACTGGTAGCTGGGTGAGAGTGTCCTTTCTAATTAGGTAAGGTGCAGAAGTGACAGAGGTGGCTGGGAGTTGAGCCCTAGCAGAGCTGTCCACCTGAAGGGCTGCACTCATTCATAAGGAGAGAAAGCTCCAGCCCCACACAGCTTCGGTGCACCCCCTGGCCGGCAAAGGGGATCCTGTCCTGCTCTATAGTCTGCTTTAAAGTCCTTTGCATTCAATTTGATGTGAAGCTCTGTGGTTTGGGGCAAACATTTGTAAACACTAATCATTGATTTGGGCTTTGTCTTTGATGGTTTCTATCTGCGATTATTGTCATGTATATTTAAGTGTCTGTTATAGAACACCCACATCCACTGTCCTGTAAACTTTTCTCATTGTCCAGATCTTTGTGTAATCGTATTTTAATTGCCACCTTGTATTTTGATTCTATATTTGCAATCTGGCGTGTTTCCAGCCAGCACTGTTTTTTTTCCCTTTGTTCTGTAATAAACAGCCAAGAAAAAAAACAAGTGTCTCTATTTTTGTTCATTTTTCCCAAGGGAGCATTCAGTACCTACAGTCCCCCCCTCCCCCCACTGCCCCCAAGGCAGCTAAGCCTGCTAGCATGTTTGGTTCCTTCTAAGGCACAGGGGTTATGTTTGAGTAGCACATGCTGCAACACTTTGGCACCACAGTGCATTTTACAGAGGTTTAAAGAGGAAGCAGGTAGCCCTGAAGGTCATTTGATGGTGGGGACATGGGCAAGGATTCCTTAGGGTCTTCACTCCACCATCTTCTTGCCCTTGACAAAGATTGTACTTGCCCATCCTGAGCCAAACGCTGCCACCCTCAATCATAGATGGAACTAAATGGAATAGCGTTCCATACTTTGTTAAAAGCAACATCTGGATAGATGGGAGACAATGCAGACAGTGAACCATGGAAGAGCTATGAAAGTTAAATTCAGGGCTCTGAGACTGCGGCATATCCAGTTACAGACCTAATTTTTTTTATTGGTCAGTCATGGGGCTTGAACTCAGGGCCTGGGCTTTTTCACTCAAGGCTAGCACTCTACCACTTTGAGCTACAGCACCACTTCTAGTTTTCTGGTGGTTAATTGCAAATAAGAGTCTCACAAACTTTCCTGCCCTAGGTGGCCCAGGATTCTCAGATCTCAGCCTCCTGAATAGCTAGAATTACAAGCATCAGCCACCAGATTCCTACTCAGACTTAATTCTTGAGTAAGGGACAATTACCAAGAGTGGCTGGGCCCGGAGTGGCTGTGAGGCAGGTGATATGTCAGCTACGTGGAAAAATGTTTGCCTTTCACAGGTAGCCATAAGGCCTGCAAGTAGGCAGGTGAGCACCCCTACAATGTGTGAGAAAAAGGGGCTTCACCTTCCTTCACCCTGTCTCTGTATCAAAGCTTGGGCTAGACACAAGCACACTCCTTCTCTGTGATCCTACCAGAAGAGGTCATCAGGGGGGATGTGGGGAGAAGGTCAAAGTTGGCTGGCCTTCTGTGCAGGATACCAGTGGAAGGAGATCAGATTTGTCTCATCCCCAACTGAGAGCCTACCTTCCCCCACATCTTAATTTTTTTCCCTTTATATCGTGACGTGCTACCCTATCTTAGCAACCCTAAAAGGTGGGGAGGGAGCTGGTTGGAACACACACACACACACACACACACACACACACACATACACACACACACTACACTACACCATACTACACTAGCATAATAAGCAACAATGGGATCAGATGTAGTGAATATGTGCTCTGCGATGGTCTGCCATGTCCTGCAGAGCCTAAAAATGCTCTCAGAAGATGCCCACATCCAGCCTTTCATTAGCTGTGATGAAGGGCAAATATCCTAGGGGTGGAAGCAACCACTCCAGTCTGTGGGCCAGAGGGCCAGGGAAACACATTCACTGCAAAGCCCTGAACTCACAGAAGCCCCACCTGCTTCCTACCAAGCATCAAATAGGTCCAGGTAATAGATATGGTCCACCTGTATTCTGCAGCCAGTCACCAGTCTCTTTGAGCATTGTTTCTCTGTCTTGAGTGCCCCCCTGTCTATACTTAACCAAACAGGCCCCCAAGTTCACCTCAGAGCCACACTGGATCACTTGGCCCATCTGTCTCAGCCATCAAAGGCTGGGTGCCATGACAGCCCTTGGCCCATCACTAGCTGTTTGTTGGGTTACATGCCCACTGACTATTGTCCTGTGAAACCCCTGGTCATAGCTCTTCCCACTTCAGTTCTGCTAGTCCCCAAAGATTCACAATAAAAGCTGAGTTTGACCTTCTAAGCTAGTTGCCCCTTCCATTCCAGAGCAGTCTAACTTCCCAAACCAAACACATGGACTTACTCAAGGCCAAGCCACAGGGAAGACTAGCTCCTCCAACCCTGTACCACCTGACCCTGGCCTGACCTCGCTATTACAGGCTCCTCCCATTTTACTGTCATGGCTTCCCTTTCATGGCACCAGCAGCCTTGCTTTCACTAGCGTCCTCCCAGGAGCAACTGTCTAAGGCCAACTCCAGCTCTCTTCCTCCCTTTGTAAAGAGTGGCAGTCCTGCCTCCCACCCTCAGCCCAGAACAATCTGGCTTAGTCTCAGCCCCTTCCTCCTAAGTCCTCTAGTCAAAATACCAACTTCCCCTTGTTCCTAAAGTTGACACTTTGCTGCCCCATAGCTCTCAGGACCCACAGTACCCTGGGCCCGTCCTCCCATCTGGCTGGAAGCATGGTGCTCTCTGTAGTTCTGTGGGCTATGCTTGCTTGTGTGTTTCATCTGAATAGGGGTCTGACTTCCACTCCCCAGAGGGCTGGCTACCACAATGGGCTAAAGCCCTCCACACTCCTTGAAGAACAGATGCTAGAGATTGGAGGCTGCTGGGTGACTCTATGTGGGAGTCCACCATCATCCTGCCTTTGACAGCAGTCTGGTCTCAGTTCCTATGTAGGCCCCCATCCTGGCTAGAATCTCTTCCCTGGGTGGATTGTGAAGTAGAAGTCTCACAGCTGTCAGCTGGAGGTTCCTGAAGAACTACTGGTGACCCACAGAAAAGGCAGAAACAACCAGGGGTTTCTGGGAGAAGGGTTCCTTTCAGAATCCACAGCATCATCCCACTCAGGGAGGGTGACATTGTTCCTTACAGCAGGCCTGGGTTCTTTTGGGACACCAGGGCTAAGGCCTGTGGGTAACCAATTATCTGTTACTGGTTCTCTAACTAGGAAAGCCAAAGGGTCTAGACACAAGTCCTAAAATATAATATATGCTAGGCTTCCCTAGCATGTGGCTATTCTATGATTCAATGATAATGTATATGGCATGCACAAGGAGGTAGGTGCATGTGATTCTCAACCTGACAGAGTCAATTGGGGAGGAGGTTTTGCATCTGCCAGGATTATACCAGAGAAACAACAAATTAGAAGTACATTCGCATATATGTGAGATGGAAGTTGGCAACAGAAGTCCAGAATCTACAGTGCAGGCTGGACTTTATCAGGCAAGAGCTGACACTGAAGTCCTGGAGCAGAATTTGTTCTTCCTCAGGAAAAATACTTTTGCTCTTTAGGCCTTTCAACTGACTGGCTGAAGCCCACTCATATATTTCCAAGTTAATCTCCTCTACTTAAGTTAAACTGGTTGTAGATGTTAATCACAGCTACAAAATACCTATGAAGCCCTAGATTAGTGTGTGATTGATGAACTGGCCACTAGAGATACACACACAACTAACCAAAAGGAGAGAGGTGATATAAACACATTTACAGTACAATAGAAAAGTTGTGTTAAGACCTATGAAGGAGAGAAAAGAAGCCTGTTTGTGGGTAGTTTGGTAGTAGAGGATAATTTACATCTTGAGATTAAGTGACAGAAGGAAGAATCGAGACATGCAATGAAGTGGGCCCAGGTTGTTCCAGGCAGAGAGAACATCAAGGGCAAAAGCCAGTTGGGATGGGAAGGCAGTCAATGGGTAGGGCTTAGTGAGGCAGGTGGACAGACTCAGACCACACAGTGCTCTGGACACTGTCTTGATCCTACAATGGAAGCCTTCAGTCACTTCCTGGGCCATGTGGAGAATGGCCCTCAGAACAGATGAGGACAGCCAATAAGGAAATCTTTTGTCTCCCTACTTCTTCCCATGGACTTCCAATGGACATTCTCCAGCTCAGGAGGATCCAAACCCAACTCCTTGTAGTTTCCCCCAAGCATGAGCATGTTTGCATACAGTCAAAGCTATTTATTGGAAATCTGAGGGTCCTCCAGGTGGATTTACACAATCACTATGATCCCACTGAAAATCTCAGTACAATTATTTTCTGTACATGTATGAGAAAATAAATCAAAATTACTCATCTTGGCATTTATTTAGACAAGACTAGTAAGGAAAATTCTTTTAAAAAACAGAGGAAGAAAGAAAGAAAGAAAGAAAGAAGGAAGGAAGGAAGGAAAGAAAGAAAGAAAGAGAAAGGGAGGGAGGAAGGAAGGAGGGAGGGAGGAGGGAGGGAAGGAGAGAAGAAGGGAGGAAGGGAGGGAAGGAAGAAAGGATTCTGGAATTATTGAATATTAAAACATATTTGAACCAGTCATGGTGGCACATGCCACCCTGAACTCAAGGGGAGAAGTATTGCTAAGGGTATTAAATCAGTCTGGGCTACATGGTGACACTCGGTCTCAAAAACCCAAAACAAAAATTATGCTACTCCTCAGCAATGAAAAGAAATAAACTACTGATATAATCTATAGCAATAACATTGTCCTAACTGAAAGAAGCCAGCCCCTGCCTCCAAAAAAGTTTAGCAGAGCTAGGATATACCCCCACATTTGATAGTAAGATCTATGATGGAGGAGAACTGATGTGGCTTTGACATGATAAGAATTTGCTACCCGAAAAAAAAATGCCATGGGCATTCAAAGATGTGTGCCCAAAGTCTTGGATTACAGAATGATTAGACTCCACCCTAAATTGGAAATTGCAAGATGTCTGTTTAAAAAAGCCATTTGATGGAGTATTATGCTACTGTTAAAAAATGGTACAGGATTTATCATTGGTTGGAAGTCTGAGTTCCATGGCCCAAACTTGGCTGGAAACCCTTTCTAGGCCGGCCTGGACCAAATTAAATACCACAAGCACACCATCCTGTGTAAACCCCAAATACAAAAGGAGCCTCAAACTGTGAATAGGCCTCCAGTGATCCATCACAGAAGTTGAGCCCAATCTTGTCTATCAAACAATCCCAGATGCCTTCAAAGAAAATTCTCAGAAAGACACAAAATCTCCTCACTCCTTATTCATAGAAATGCTAAGCCTGAGTGAAGGCCTCAGAAATTTGACCCCTTCCTGAAAAGAATGTTCTAAGCAAAAGCCTCTCAAGAGGAGCCCCCAACAAAAGAAACGATTAGAGGCTATATTGAATCTTAGAGTGGGAAAGTACTCTATACCCTCCCCTTACCAAATGACAATAGAAGGCCTCAGGAACTTGGGCCATTGGCCCT